TATATCATCTGTCATGTGGCTAATTGCTGGCTGTAATCTCTTGGGCCTAACACGGCAGGTCAACACAGAATAAGCGGTCACCGAGTGGAATTAATACTACACGATCCATCTGATGTAGAGAAGGGGGCACCGATCCCTTTGTTGTCCAACCAACCGATGGATTTTGTCGGAACGTTTTAAAAAACAATTTATTTTTTTTTTACAAGCGTGGAATAGAACAGTGAAAGATTATATAAAGCAGAAGCAAGAAAAATAATGCACTAAAAGAACTTTCCTCCCCCCTCCCACTCCCCGAAACTGATTTCTCGCGACCACCACCATGACAAGTATAAACAATTCCCTGATCGCTTCACCTTCACTTAGCGAACAAAAATAAAGAGCTTCATCCCCTTAATCCGCCTGCTTACAATAGGCAAAACAAGTAAGTCGTGTCTTATTCGATCCAGTGACCAGCAAAAGAGAGAGAGAGACAAAGCGAGTGTCAAACATTTTTAAAGTGATAACAAGCTGTGGATTAAAGGGAAGCCTGTGACATCAATGAAATCTGTACTTCTAAGCACATTTACTTGGAAGGATTCCCGCTGGATTCCAGAAAGGTGGTTTTTGCGTAACAAGGTTCCAATGGGTATAAGGTACAGTATCCTCGTTGGAACCTTGTTACGTAAAAACAACTTTTTTGGAGTATGTTTATATTGGATGGATATTCTAGTGCAATGATGGTTAACCTTTTTGGGCCCCGAGTGCCCACGCATGTGAATGCACGCACGCGTGCCCAAACACCCAAAATTCAATGCATGCACACGCATCCCCGCACACGCGCCCCCACGCCCCGTTTTGGCTTCCAGCTTGGTGCAGGAGGCTTTCCAGGCCCAAAACGTTTGAAACTTCAAACGTTATAAATCAAGGCAATCTGAGTAAGATTTTAGTTCGTTAGAAACGAGCAATTGTTCTCTTTTGGTTGTTTCCATGCAGCAGGTAGTGTCCATATGGTAATGCCAGTTAAACATCTGTCAGATTTGCCCAAACTCACTCGCTTCATACAGGTTCGAACCTGCAAAACCTGTTGGTATTAAATTATAGAAAGAAAAAAAAATAGTTAAGTGGCTAAGAGCAATAAAACATCTGCCTCCCAACATTATCTCTCATAAAATCAGCTGCAGTCGGAGTTCCCTATATATATATATATATATATATATATATGATGTGCCAAAGTGCCATCTGGTCTGGATCGGTCTTTGAAGGGCCTTGCAGAAGCTGGGATAAAACGTTGGCAAAGCTACTTCTTTCTTTGAAAAGTCAGGATGGGGTGAACGGCAAGTAGTCCTCGACTTACGACCACAATAGAACCCCCAAATTTCTGCCACTAGGCAAAACAATTGTTAAGTGAGTTCAAGTGAGGGAGTGGGGTTTGCGGAGAGGCAGCGGAAGACTGCGGTCCGTGGTAATCTCTTGAGTTCGGTTGTTTTCTTACAGACATTTCATTACCAGACTAGGTACCGTCATCAGTGCTAGAAGGGAGTGGGGTTTGCTCTCTTTTTATATACAAGTAGTCCTCAACTTACGACCACAATTGAGCCCAACGTTTATGTTGCTAAGTGAGAAAGTTGTTCAATGGGTTTTGCCCCATTCTGTGACCTTTTTTGCCACAGTCAAGTGAATCACTGGGGTTGTTAAGTTAGTAACACAGTTATTCAGTGGATCTGGCCTCCCCATTGACTTTGCTAGAAAGAAAGTTGCCAATGTGTGATCCTGAGATAACTCCAACCGTCATAAATATGATAGCCAAGCATCCTGAATTTTGATCACGAGACGATACTGCAACAGTCGTTAAGTGTGAACAACGGTTGCAAGTCACTTTTTCCACCGCCATTGTAACTTTGAACGATCATCAAATGTTTTGTTGTAAGTCGAGAACTCTCTGTAGTCTTTGGAAGCGACGGTTCCTTGTGAGAATTTTTTCTGACTATGGGTAGTCCTCGACCTACAACAGTTCATTTAGTGACTGCTCAGAGTTACAACGGCACTGAAAAAAGTGACCATCGTGACCATTTTTCGCACTTACGACCGTTGCAGCATCCTCGTGGGCACATGATCAAAATTCAGACACCTGGCCTCTGACTCATATTTATGACGGTCGCAGTGTCCCAGGGTTATGTGATTCCCCCTTTGCGGCCTTCTGACAAGCTGGGGAAGCCAGATTCATTTAACAACCGTGTTCCTAACTTAACTGCAGTGATTCACTTAACGACGGTGGCAAGAAAGGCCGCAAAAATGAGGCAAACCTCACAACAAATGTGTCACTCAGCAACATAAATTTTGGGCTCGATTGGTCATAACTCGAGGCAAGAGGCTGACTCTGTAAACTGCTTAGAAAGGGCTGTAAAGGGCTATATCAATGCTATTGCTTAGTACTTGTACAGTATTTCCTCTTTTGTGGTCTGAAAGAGAAAGCAATCTTGAAGCGCTCTTCCGCATCCTCATAACGAAAGAAAAAGCAGTAATATTATTTCTTTAATTATTGAATGCAGCCACCATAGAATTTTTATAACTTGGGCCCTGCCTTTCCTCTCCGTGTTTGTTTACCAGCCGAGATTAAGGAGGAAATAGGATGAGAAAAAGCTCCTTTATGTGGGATTAAGCCCTTCGATCCTTCAGGGTTGTAGTTCACACCCATTTTCCAACATGTTTTCTTTGTTGAGGAGGAAGCCCAGCCAAATTTTGATAGGACCTTCAATTACCATAGTAATAGTCATGGTGACAGACATGTTTATGCAAATAACCAGCGTTTCTCACAATCCTTTATGGCAAAAATAATATTAAAAAAAAAAAACCAATCTGGATACAGGTAGTCCTCGACTTACGACTACAATTGAGACCAACATTTCGGTTGTTAAGTAAGACACTGGCTAAGTGAGTTTTTTGCCCCGTTTTACCACCTTCCTTGCCACAGTCGCTAAGTGGAATCACTGCAGTTGATAAGTCAGTAACCTGGTTGTGAAGCGAATCTGGCTTCCCCATTTGACTTTGCTTGACCCACGCGACCTTGGGACACAGCAACGGTCGTAAGTACGAACCACTTGCCAAGCATCTGAATTTTGATCGCAGGATCATAGCGGCTGCTTCAAAAGGTCGTAACTGTGGAAAATGGTCATAACTCACTTTTTTTTCAGGGCCGTTATAACGTTGACTGGTCACTAAGCAAACTGTCGGAGGATTACCTGTAGGTTTTTTTTGTGTGTGTGTGTGTTAGCAGCATTTAGTTATCTATGCCTCATTCTGTTTGGAAGATTAGTGATATTATTTTGTAAGCCTCCCAGGCTCATATAGAGTAGAATGGCAAAGTTACATCAAAGTTTGAGGAAGGGGAAAAGTCAGTTCTGTACTTAAACCAGTGTGTGTTCTGTCCCCGTCTCACACACGCACACAAACAGACAGCCGGGGGTTAAATAAACTGGCAGACAACCAATTCTTCCGATAAGAGGCTTGGCAGCAACCCAGTAGCTGCTTGCCAAGAACTTTTACTCAATAAACAAAATACCCACAGTCAAGAATTGTCCAGTTCGTAAAATAAATCCAAGGCCGATAATGTTGTTTCCACAGATGCAATGTGACTCGATAGTAGTTAGTTTTGTCCGTCACAGAGTCTGAATGGCCACCTCACCCCCTTTTATACCCTGTGGGGTGTGGTCCAGTGACTCAGCCTAATCTCTGGCACGCCTTTTCTTCTGTTGCACGCGCTTATCTCTGTGACGCTGCCAAGGATCCAGCCAAGACTCATTTCCCTCATCACTGTCCACCTGTGGCTGTGTGGACGTGCTTGGCCCCGGCCCAAACTCTTGCCCTTCGGTGGACACCGAAGGCATTGCCAGAGAGGAGGGTCCTGGAAAGGGAGGCCTTGCCAACTCCTCTCCTTCACTCTCGGAGTCCTCTCCTGCCGATGACACAGGCTCAGGTAACGGAACCACAACAGTGTGATGACTTCTCAATGCTAGAAAAAGGGACGTGTGAAGAGTATACACAAGATTTGAGTATACACAAATCTTGTGTATACTCAGCAGCAGGCTGTGGCTGCAAAAAAAAGCAGAAATAGGATTTTAGAAGGCTCCCAGGAAGTAATAGCTTTATTTTATTATTCTCCTTTGGTCTGATGCTGTCTGGAATCCGGTATCCAGCTCTGAGCATCACACACGAGTTGCTAAGATTCTAAGGCGGTCTCAACCTTGGCAACTTGAAGATGTGTGGACTTCAACTCCCAGAATTCAATTCCCCAGACAGACAGAATTAATTGAATTCTGGGAGTTGAAGTCCACACATCTTCAAGTTGCCAAGGTTGAGAAATACAGTAGTCCTCAACTTATGACAATTCATTCAGTGACCGTTCAAAGTTACAACAGCACTGAAAAATGAATTGATGACAGTTTTCCACTGTTATGACCGTTGCAGCACCCCCATGGTCACATGATCAAAATTCAGACACTTGGCAACTGGCATGTATATTTCTGCCGGTTCCAGTGCCCTGGGTGATAGGAGCACCATTTGCAAACTTCTGACGGGGAAAGTCTGTGGGGAAACCAGATTGATTCACTGCAGTTGTTAAGTTAGTAATGCAGTTGTTAGGTGCACATGCCAATAACTGTGGCAAGAAAATGGGGCAAAATTCACTTAGCAGCATAAATCATGGACTCAATTGTGGTCAGCAGTCAAAGACTACTGATATTTTGGTGTCTTAACAAGCAGTGGGTTTCACATTATTACTGCTTCACCCCGTGTGCGCAAAGCGCACACACACAACTTCCACACATGTGCTCGGCCTCAAAAACGTGGTTAAATAGGATGGCATTATGCTGCTACCGATTCGCCCGAACCGGCTGAATACCACCTCTTGTCTTAACCTGTGTGAATCCTAAATGAATGGTTTCAATCCGTTCACACTGATTTGGAGTCACTCCGTTTTGCCCAAGGCAGTAATTATTCCTCCTGCTCTTTTCTCCTTCTGCCAGGCGAGAGGATTCTGGGTTACGCCGAAGAGCCTTGTTACCTGTGGTTCGTCATGGAGTACTGCGAAGGGGGAGACTTGAACCAGTATATTCTTTCCCGCAGGCCCGACCCGGCCACCAACAAGAGTTTCATGCTCCAGCTGACCAGCGCCATTGCGTTCCTGCACAAAAACCACATCGTGCACAGAGACCTGAAGCCGGACAATATCCTGATCACCGAGCAGTCGGGAGCTCCGGTTCTCAAAGTCGCAGACTTTGGGCTGAGCAAAGTGTGCGCGGGATTGACCGCCCGAGGCAAGGACGGCGGCGACGACGACGACAAAAATGTGAATGTGAACAAGTACTGGTTGTCCTCGGCTTGCGGTTCGGATTTCTACATGGCTCCCGAAGTGTGGGAGGGGCACTACACGGCCAAAGCGGACATCTTTGCGCTGGGCATCATTATCTGGGCCATGATCGAGCGGATAACCTTCATCGATGCCGAGACCAAGAAGGAACTCTTGGGGACTTACGTCAAGCAGGGGACCGAGATCGTACCTGTCGGGGAAGCTCTACTAGAAAACCCAAAGATGGAGTTGCACATTCCTCAGAAACGCAGGACTTCCATGTCTGAAGGAATCAAACAGCTCCTGAAAGACATGTTGGCTGCTAACCCGCAAGATCGACCCGATGCCTTTGAGCTTGAATCCAGAATGGACCAGGTTACTTGTGCTGCTTAAACTCAGGTCAAAGTGTTGGTGGGCTCTGAAAACAGGGTAAGGGGCCTTTCTTCTGTTTCTCTGCCTATTAAAATGATCCTGCCATGAATCCAAGGGCTCAAGGCACTTGGGTGAAATTCTACCGGTTCGGGCCGGTTCGGCCTAACCGGTAGTAAAAAAATGCTTTAAAAAGTTTTTAAAAACTTGCGATGATCAGCTGTGACAATCAACTGTGCCGCGCGATCGTCAGAACAGTTATTTTTACTTTTTTAAAGCATTTTTTACTACCAGTTCGGGCGAATAGGTAGTAAAAAATGCTTTAAAATGTTTTAAAAAAATTCCGACAATAAGCTGTGCTGCGTCATTGTCAGAACATTTTTTTTTTCTTTTTTAAAGCATTTTTTACTACCTATTCGCTGGAACCAGTAGTAAAAAAAATGCTTTAAAAGGGTTTTTTTAAAAAAGTTTTTTAAAAAAAAGTTCCCACGATTGCGGGCACAGCTGATTGTCACAGCTGTTCATCGGAAGTTTTTTAAAAAAAAATTTAGTTAAAAATGTTTTTAAAGGTTGACCACGCCCACCCAGTCACATGATCCCACCACCACGCCACACCCACAGAGCCGGTAGGGAAAATCTTTGAATTTCACCACTAGCTTGAGGCTATTTATGCTCTTTCTGGTAGCAACAGGTTAGGGAATGCTGGAAAGGAGATAGCAATAGCATTTAGGATTAAACATCTATTTAATCTCCTGGCTCCAGAGGATTATAAATGCTTCCTTGGGTGAGGGTGACTTTCCCGCCGCCTTGAAAGAGGCGGTGGTGAATCCTCTCCTCAAGAAGCCTTCCCTGGACCCGGCAATATTGGTAAACTATCATCCGGTCTCCAACCTTCGCTTTGTGGCGAAGGTTGTTGAGAGTGTGGTTGCGCAACAGCTCCCCCAGCACCTGGATGAAACGTCGTATCTGGATCCGTTCCAGTTGGGTTTCAGGCCCGGGTACAGCATGGAAACGGCATTGGTCGTGTTGATAGATGATCTCTGGAGGGCTCGGGACATGGGGTGCTCCTCTGTCCTGGTCCTGTTAGATCTCTCAGCGGCTTTTGATACCATCGACCATGGTATCATGCTGCACCGGTTGGAAGAGTTCGGGGTGGGAGGCACTGTGTTGCGGTGGTTCTCCTCCTTTCTCTCTGACCTGTCGCAGTCTGTGTTGACAGGGGGACAGAGGTCGACCCCGAGGCCCCTCATATGCGGGGTGCCACAAGGGTCGGTCCGCGCTCGCCCCTCCTGTTCAACATTTATGTGAAGCTGCTGGGTGAGATCATCCATGGTTTCGGGGTGAAGTACCACCAGTACGCTGACGACACCCAGCTTTACATCTCCACCCCAGACCACCCCAACGATGCCCTTGAAGTGATGTCCTGGTGCCTGGAGGCCGTGCGGATCGGGATGGGGAGGAATAAGCTCAGACTCAACCCATCCAAGACCGAGTGGCTGTGGTTTCCGACGTCCCGATATAGTCAGTTGACGCCATCACTGACTATTGGGGGCGAATCATTGGCCCCCACGGAGAGGGCTCGCAACTTGGGCGTCCTCCTGGACTCACGGCTGTCTTTAGAAGAGCACTTGACGGCCGTGACCGGGAGGATTTTTCATCAGGTTCGCCTGATCTGCCAGTTGCGTCCCTTTCTGGATCGGGACTCCCTACACACAGTCACTCATGCCCTCGTCACCTCCTGCCTGGACTATTGTAACGCTCTCTACATGGGGCTCCCCTTGAGGAGCACTCGGAGGCTCCAACTGGCGCAGAGTGCGGCCGGCGGGTGGTAATGGGAGCGACATGGCGCTCCCATGTAACACCCCTCCTGCGCGAGCTGCACTGGCTCCCGGTGGTCTTCCGGGTGCGCTTCAAGGTTTTGGTTACCACCTTTAGAGCGCTCCATGGCTCAGGACCTGGGTACTTGCGGGACCGCCTACTACCACCAATAGCCTCCCACCGGCCGGTACGCTCCCATACAGAGGGCTCCTCCGGGTGCCGTCGGCCAAACAATGCCAACTGGCGGCCCCCAGGTTGAGAGCCTTCTCTGTGGGGGCAACTACTATCTGGAACGAGCTCCCCCCGGAGATACGGAGGATCCCGGATCTGCGCACCTTCCGCCGCGCTCTAAAGACCTTTTTATTTCATCAGGCGGGCCTGGCCTAAATCTTCTCCCTCTTTTATAAAAGATTTTTAATTTTTTAATTTTTTAGTATTTTATATATTCAAATTTTAAAATAGGTTTTAAATTGATTGGGGTTTTAATTTGTCTGGGCCAAAACTATTTAATTTGATTTTAATTCCACTTTTAAATTTTGTATGTATGTATTTTATTGTTTGGCTGTGCACCGCCCTGAGTCCTTCGGGAGTAGGGTGGTATAGAAATCAAATCAAATCAAATAAATAAAATAAACATCCTTCCCCTCCCCATAACATTTTTAGAGTAGGGGGTCCCAACGTCTGGGCTGTGAACCGGCACACCAGAAACCAGGTCACACACACAAATGAGCAAAACCCAATCTGTGCACAAACATGAAGCCAGGTAGCACCTGAAGCCCATTGGTCCATGGAAAAAACCCTCTCCGGCCCCTGGTGCCCAAAAAGTTGGGGGCCACTGCTTTAGAGCACTCTGTGGGCAGTTTACAATGTAGAGGATTCAGGGTAGATAAAAATCTTATGATTCTTTTTTTAAAAAAATTGGATTTTTAAAAAATTTAAATCAGATTTTTTTTTTTTATTTTGATCAAATTTATTTTAATAAAATGCTTTTGGAGTAATAAGCTATCCAAGGGTAGTTTTCTATTTAAGATACATTAATAATTCAGTTTATTCAGCATGAAATGGAGCTTAGTTATGTCGCAGGAGGCTGCATATTCTGCAACACTGGGACCATCAGTGAGTCAACAGTGGGTCAAAGGAGCAGCAGGGATGACAGTTGCTCTTTAAAAATGATGATTTAACTCGAGTCGATTTAAATCAAGCCTTTTTACTAGGGATTGAAATCATGCTTTAAATCGTGATTTAAATCGACTTGATTTAAATCAAATCCACTCGGAGAGCATTATTTGCATCTTGCCCCCAACAATCTGGGTCCTCCTTTTACCAACCTCAGAAGGATTGAAGGCTGAGCCAACCTGCAGCTGGTGAGGATTGAACTGCTGGCAGTGGGCAGAATCAGCCTGCAATACTGCACTTCAACCACTGCGCCACCAAGGGTCTTTGTATGGGGTTACAGGCAGTCTTCAAGTGGCTGGGGAATTCTGGGAGTTGAAGTCCACAGGTCTTAAAGTTGCCACCCCTGCCGTAAAAGAAGGCATCACCACAAAAAGATTGACTTATTTATTGTTTGGAAGGCAAGTTAGGTCCTTTCCTGCTACCTCTATGAATTTAAAGTCTCGGCCCAGGTAAAGAACTTTCTGGAACTTTCCCTCTCTTTTTAAATGCAGGGTGGGCTTCCTCTTAAGCTGCATGTGTCAGGCTCAATTTTACCTTTTTGGCCGCCGTTATTAAGTGAATGTCACTTTTTGCAGTGCCGTTGCAACTTCAGTCACTAAACGAATGGCTATAGAACGAGGACTGCCTGTAGTTTCTCCAGACAAGTGTTGCGCAACCTTAGCAAATTTAAGACCCTAGCTGGGAAAGATTCTGGGAGTTGTAAATTTTTTTAAAAAATTTAAATCAGATTTTTTTTTATTTTTATCAAATTTATTTTAATAAAATGCTTTTATTCCTTGCTCAGCAAGGACCTTGCTGAGGTTGAGAGAGCGTGGCCAGCCTGCAAGAGCCATGAAGCCAGCTGTGGTTGCCCTCACCCGCTGCTCACAAGTCAAATTCGGCAGGAGGGGGTCTGTTTTTTCCTTTGGGCTCCAAGCAGGTTGGATTTGATTTAAATCGAGTTAAATCGTCGTGATTTAAATCATGATTTAAATCACTAGTAAAAAGGCTTGATTTAAATCAGCTCGATTTAAATCATAATTTTTAAAGAGCAACTGTCATCCCTGCTACTCCTTTGACCCACCGTTGACTCACCGATAGTCCCAGTGTTGCAGAATATACAGCCTCCTGCTACATAACTCAGCTCCATTTCATGCTGAATAAACTAAGTTATTTATGTATCTTAAATAGTTTAAATAGTTAGGCCTGGCCTAACTTTCCCTTTATATTGCTTTTGATTTTGTTTTAAACTGGGATGTCTTGAATTATCTAGGACCAGAGTGTTTAGTATATTTTAATTGGGTTTTTTTTAACGTTTGTATTACATGTATTTTTATCTTTCGCTGTTCACCGCCCTGAGTCCCTCAGGAATAGGGCAGTATATAAATTTAATAAATAAATAAATAAATAATAAATAGAAAACTATCTTACGATAGATTTTTACCCCAAAAGTTTGTTATTAAAATAAATTCAATAAAAATAAAAAAAAAACGATTTAAATCAAAGAGCCTTGGTAGGACAGGGGTTTAAGGCACCCTGTTATTAAGCTGGTTATTAAGACCAGCTGCCTGCAATTTCTGCTGGTTCGAATCTCACCAGGCTCAAGGTCGACTCAGCCTTCCATCCTTTCTAAGGTAGGTAAATTGAGGACCCAGTTTGTGGGGGCAATAAGCTGACTTTGTATAAATATACAAAAGGATGAAGGCTATTGCTTAACACATTGTAAGCCGCCCTGAGTCTCCGGAGAAGGGCGGCATATAAATCAAATTTAAAAAAAAAAAAAAAAAATCCGATTTAAATAAAAAAAAAATCTGATTTTTTTTTTTTTAAAATCATTGATTTTTATCCACCCTGGCTCCAAGCGAGGCCGGAGAACAATCGGCAGAGACGCAGAGGCCCGTCTCTCTCTAGAGACATTCCAGACATAGCAAGATGCTTTCCAAACATCACCGTGTCACGAACAAAAGTTCGGGCTTTTGCAGGCTCCGAAGTAGCACAACAGATACTCCCTGGAGCTCCCGCACTCTCTCTCTCGTCACCCTGCCGTATTTGTGGATCACCGCAGAAGCCAGCCGGGGAACCTCTTA